CTAGTCAAACTGACCGGTCTGTAGTTCTCAGGAAGGTGTCTGTCACCCTTCTTGAAAATGAGACATACTATCGCTTCTTTCCAAGTAGAAGGTAAGGAGCGATAGAGAATGGACTTCTCAAACAAGCGCTTGATCGGTTCGCAAAACTCGTCTGCGAGTTCATACAACAACTTGGGGTGAACAGCATCTGCCCCAAGCGCTTTGATAGAATTTAGTCCCAGTAGTAGCACGAGCACCTGAGTCTGTAACGGAAATATCTGTCAGCAGAGAGCCAGACGGAACTCTTCTCTCCAAATAAATAGGCGACAAGCAAGATTCTGTAATGGACGCGCATACTATTCTGCAAGCATACAGGCCTTAGCGTGGTCCGTTACAGCAGCATCGTCGTCGGTACCATGGAAAACTGGAAGAAGCGCTTTAGGTTTAAGGAAGCCCAGTCGGTCATAGCATAATCAAGATGCACGCAGATGTTGTTTACAGGCATTCTGTGCTTCTTTATGGCGACGGAAAGCGCTCTCTGAGGGAACCGACCGAGAGGTCCGGCAGCACGTGGTCCGCCTGTTCATCAGTCGATGTGCAACTGATCTAAACCATAGAAGCTTCGCATTTTAAGCCTTACTCTCAGAAATGGGGATATGAGGGAGACACTTCAGACAGGTAGGACTTGAAGTAATCCCAGGCGGTCTGCAAGTCATCGTCGGCAGAGATGATGCAGGGCGAAGTTGTGACCTTAGCTCTGATCGCGGGGAAATTCGTTCGCCATATATTCGGACTAGGAATATTGTCATCAGTGTAGTTACTGAACAGGGCACAGTTGAATGACAGATGTGATCGCTAGCTTCCAGGGGCGGTTCATAAGTAAGTTCGCTTATAAAATCTACAGACCTGGCAAAGGGTAGATCTAGGATGGACGGGGCATGAGCTTCCAACGAACTGGTGTAAGGGTGGCAGCAACGTTAGGTCGAGAAGAGCAGTAGCTAGCCCTCCCCCCGCTGCTGACTGACATGAAAAGGTCTGCCAGTCTATCTCCGGGAGGTTAAAATATCTAAGAATTAGGCACCCGGTAGTTGACTGACCGCGAAGGAAGACACTGAGCCCATTAGAAGTGCGGTCGGGAGCCCTATATACTAACACAATGGTTAGCTGCTTGGAGCTACGCACTTCAACCGAAAGTGCTTCTGTAACCCCATCATGAGTTAAACGCGCATAGTTTGGAAATATTTAAAGTAGATTTGACGTAACGAGCCACGCCTCCACCACGACGGTCGAATGCGCGACCAGCTCTTAGTAATGCATAGCCTGTTAGGCCTACCTCACTGTCCATAACTTCGGATGATAACCCGTTTCGGTGAATACAAGGACGTGGCCCACAAGAGCGTCGACTTCGCACATCTTGTTTCACAAGCCATGCACGTTTTTGAGAACTACCTGAAGGTTATCGGTATAGTGTGTCCGGGATCGTGCGCCATCAGAACGGGTTCTGGCAGGGTAGTAGTAGACCGCCGGCTCATCACCCGAAAACCCACCAACTGAATACCCTTCTCCCCAATGTCTCGGTGCGCTGTAAAGTTGTTGATAGCATCCTTGAGCTTCAATCTGTTAGCCAAAGGAAGGTCCAGCTGTACACTGACTCCAGAACCTTTGAGTTTGAAAGCAAAGCGCAGAAGTGCCTGACGCTCATCTTGAGTGGAAAGCACAACTCGCAAAAGACGAGGAAAGGGGTTCAGCTCGTCAATTTGTAAGTTGCCAATTCTTGTGAGTTTCCAAAATGTTACCCCGGGGAATCCGGGCAGCAGTAATTTAAAAACACAAAGTCCATGGTGCGCTCCGTCGGAGCAGAAGCAGTGGGCTCAGGTACGCCCCTAAGTATGAGGCTACAGTCGGTAAGTCGCCGCCGACAGAGTATTTACTGCTCGTGTCACCGAAACAGATGTGCGCACGTCCGCAGTTGGTTCGGTAACTTCTGTGAACGCGCAAGTTAATGACCGAGGCCGCAAAACATTGGGACTTGCAGTCAAAGGAACTAACTGCGTATAACCTGTCCGAATGACTTCAGATGAAGACGGTGCGATTTTTTAAAAACCATCTCGTCTTCTTTTGATGGATGCATGGGCATGCACTTTTACTTCACCCCAGCGCGTACGTAGTCTGGGGAGCTGCGATAAAAGGCAAATACCTGGCAGGTGGCTGGATTTTCATGTCAAAACCACCTACTAAGGGACCATACGAAGGAAACGTAAAGATGAAGTGAAGAGAAAGCATCAATGGGCGTCTGACCGAGGTACAACGACCTCCTTACCTTACGGTCAGTCAGGACAGGTTAATTGGATCTTAAGATCCAAGGATGACAGGCTTGCGCCTAACGAGCATCCAGCTTCTTGTATCGGCAAACGAACTAAAGACCCCAGCACTTCAACTTTTAATCGCCAATGATTGCTTCTGCAAAAATATGAAGCAAGAACAAGAGCAATCCATGCATTTTCTAGTATGTAGTATCAAGGCCACGCTCGTATTTTCTACACGGCCCAAGGGCAAGTTCAAGTGGGACTGGAACGATAGGATTATCCCGTGAGTGTTTCTTCTTCAGCGGGTCGTTGAACCAGGAGTTGGCAAACGGAATACAGATGGATCTAAGGCAAAGACCGCATCACACCCAGTCCACGTATCCTGCCCTAGCAGTCCCTGCTGGGCCGGTTACGTGAAGAGAGAAAAGTAAACTCAGAGGGCAAGAAGGGAAAGGGTAAGTTAAGCAAGTAGAATTCTTTAAAAAGAACTGAAAACTGAAGGCGAGTCAGTTAGGAAAAAGGGAAGGTTTGGTGTTGCCTCCCAAGAGCATTGAGTTGACGCGCAAAACCCTTAACTGTAGGTTCCCTAACCTTATGATCTGGAAGCGAATTCCAGCGATCTATAATTCAGGGCGACAGACGAGTTTCCGACCTAATCCTATCAGACCGTGGTTTCTGTCATTTCAGTGGGTGACCGCGGAGAATAAGAAACTTAGCGGGACTAAATATCCCTGACAATTCCGGACCAAAGTTACCTGTCAAAATACGATAAGTGAGAAGCAGATCCCCTCTTATCCTTCGGTAGCGCATAGAATACATCCCCAAACTAAGCAAGCGTTCTGGATACGTCTGTCTGCGTAAACCCTGCATTAATCGAGTAGCCACTCGTAACACCCTCTCCAAGTCCATTTTGTTTTGAATAAGACATGGTGGACAAGTCTGGATACAAGATTAAGGTGGGGTCGGACGAATGGCGAAAATAGTTCCACAAACAAATAGGCTGTTAGGACACCGAAAGTGCGGCAGATAAACGACATCATACGAAACCCCCTTCTTCCGATTGTCGCCAAATGAAGTGCTGATGAGTGGACGATCAATAAATCAACCTGCTGAGTAACAACAGGGATTTCATCACTGTCGATAGCATGTCAGGTGGGAGGACTAGCAGCTCCCATTCGGGGAATAGTGCACTTGGACCTATTTATGGAATCAACCATAAAGTCAACAATTCCCAGAGTCTGTCCAACGCACGCTGAATGGCCTCAGAACTCCCCAAAATATCCATAATATTCCAGAGCTTAAAGTCGTCAGCAAACATTAGTGATGACACTCCTAGCTTCCCCAGCAAGGCATTTACATAGATCGCGAACAAGGATGGCCCCAGTAATGAGCCCTGCGGGAGGCCACGAAAGACAGCTTGCCTGAGCGAAGGGATACACCCCACCCGTACGAACTGTTTCCTCCCCTACAGGAAACCATAGACCCATTTAAGGGCGCGATAAGATATCCCCTAAGATCTTAACTGTAGTGAGTCTAAGATGAGAAACTGTTAAAAGCTTTCGAAAAGTCCACGAATAGCACGTCTACAGCGTGGCCACTGACTGCCGCTTCAGCCCAGTGTTCATGATTAGGTTGACAAGAAAATCCCTTGCGGTACAATAAGGTGGTTAAATCTGTTCAGGTGGTTCTCCATCGAATCCCTTAGCAGCTTTTCAAAAAACTTGACTATCATGCTTGTCAAACTGACAGGCTGGTAATTCGCGGGCAGACCGCTGTCACCGGGCTTAAAAATCGGACAGATGAATGCATCCTTCCAGTCCGGAGGTAAGACGCAGCTGTCAATCGATATAGAAAACACGCATGTGAGAGGACCATTCAGCTCAGCAGATAGTTCATGTAACAGTTTCGGATGAATTGAATCAGGACCGGAATACTTGGAGGGATTAATGCCTTGCAATAGTTAGGAGACCTCAGTCTCGGTCATGTTAAACTCAGCTAAGCAAGAATCTTCTGGAACACTTGAAACCAATTCAATCTGTGATAAAGTGGTCGAATGAACAAAGACCCCAGTATACTGTTCACTAAGTATACAAGTCTTGTCATAGTTTGTGCATGGGTCCCGTCTGCGCGCAATAACGCTGGTATAGACGGTCTTGCCTCGCCGCATCTTTAAAAGTTAGCAAAGAACTTCTGGGGATTAGCTGCGGCCGAGTCCACTAAACCCTGCTCGTATTGGAGATGAGCAGTCCCGAGATGCTGTTTACATTTATTTCTAATCTCTCGATAACTGTCGTAGGTACTGGCTGAGGGAGCTGCTTGGTAGGTTCCCCAGCATCTAGACGGTTTCTTGAGAAGGTACTTGCCTGGGGTATCTATCCATGGAGGCTGTGCCCGTAACGCACTTTTCCTCATGAATGGAATATGGAGAGTGGAAACGTCTGTAAGGTATGTGTTAAAGTTATCCCAGGCTAACTAGACAAAGTCGGTCATCGAGATCTCACAGTTCAGAACTGGAGCCTTAGCTCGCATTGTACTAAAGTCCGCCCGCCAAATTTTCGGAAGTAACATTCGGAAGTAATGCAACGGCGGCCTGTCGGTGCCTTGAAAGTGCACACCGTAAGGACATGTGTAGTGCAACTGAAAACATGCTCTTTCAGTATCTTATAACATTGGATTTTATGGTTGTTTTAACCTTCGAAACGTCCATTTGTTTATCTGACTGCACATCCATGGTCACAAACCGTTTTGGTGAGTTCCACGCTGCACGTTCCTCGCTCTCTCTGATTCGCTTCCTATTTTTGTAGCCTGCACAATACACGTTGGGTTCAGTCTCCTCCGACTTCTTTACTGTCGTATTTGACACGTCTTACGTGTCATCGCTTACCGACTAGTATCCCAGGTTCCGCCCAACAATTGGTGACCCCCTGTCAGGAACACGCCGTCCGCCATTGTGAATTTTCATTTTGGTGAGCTCGTTCCAGTGCTTTTCTGATTCATTACTCGCTATCGTTTTGTTTTCTCATTCGCCGCATATACTTATTCATTCCTCACGATGAATAGTGCTGATGATAAACCATCTACGTACGTGGTTAGTGCCGTAGAGCTAGCCTCCCCACCTTTTTGGGAGAATGACCCGTTGTTATGGTTTGCACATTTAGAATCCACTTTTTACAATTGTAAAATTTCATCTGATAATTCTAAATATCATCAGCTTATGTCCCGGCTTCCGCAAAGCGTATCCTCCCAAGTGAGGGACGTCATAGCTTGCCCGCCCCCCGATGCGAAATACGATACTTTAAAGCAGGCGATCATTCAGCGAATCACGCCCTCTGACAAGGTCCGACTTCAGCAACTGTTTAGGGATCTGCAGCTAGGGGACAGGATGCCTTCAGCCTTGTTGCGACAGATGCAACAGCTCCTAGGCACATCCAGCATGGATGAAGGTATTCTCCGCGAAATGTGGATGCAACGTCTCCCAGAAAGCACACAAGCCATCCTTGCGGTGGCAAGCGCCCTGCCTCTCACAGCAGTTGCAGAACTAGCAGATCGGGTCATGGAACGACATCAGCCAGCGAACGAATCTAGGACGTTCACTCGACTTAGCCCCGTCACAGCCCCGGCGACAAACCCCACTAGTGAGCCGTCGGCAATCGACGCTTTAGCATCGCAAATAGCGTCATTACAACGCCAAGTCGAGAAACTCAACCTAGACCGTAAGCAGCGCAGCCGCTCTAACTCATCAACTCGCCGCACGAAGCCTAACAATTCAGGCTTTTGCTTTTACCACACGCGTTTTGGTAACAAAGCCCGCAAGTGCCAGCAGCCATGCAGTTTCTCCGCCGCCAAGCAGGGAAACTTCCACGCCGGCCCGTAATGGCGACTAACGGTGTCGGCAAAGCTCCAAGTCGTCTCATCTACATTAGGGATTATGGCTCCGATACCCAGTTCTTAGTTGATACCGGGGCGGAAGTCAGCGTCATTCCCCCTATGCCAGGTGAGCCTACCGCTTCTCTGTCGACAAGTCTCAGTGCCGCCAATGGCACACCAATAGCCACCTATGGTCATCGGTCACTTACCCTGGACCTAGGTCTTCGGCGCACGTTTCGCTGGGTATTCACTGTCGCTGCAGTCCCCTTTGCCATCATCGGCATTGACTTTCTCAGGCATTTCGACCTCTTGGTCGATGCGAAACGCCAGATGATAGTCGACACTGCAACAAAACTCAGCGTACGTGGCATCACCGCCGATGTGACATCTATATCCCCGGTCTATGCATTTCCCCAGACCTCGTCAGACTACGCTAATCTCCTTTCTCAGTATCCCAAGCTCGTTCAGCCAATGAACGCAGCTTTGCCCGTGGCAGCTCAAGTCACGCACCACATACGGACGAATGGCCCACCTGTGTCATGCCGTCCACGCCGACTATCGCCTGAGAAACTAAAGGTAGCTAGGGCGGAGTTTGAGCACATGCTTGAACTTGGAATAATCCGCCCTTCCGACAGCCCTTGGTCCTCGCCCCTACAGATGGTCCCCAAGAAATCTGGTGACTGGCGTCCTTGCGGTGATTACCGCGCACTCAATCGCCTAACCGTCCCAGATAGGTATCCCATCCCACACATGCAGGACCTTACCGCATGCCTCACAGGTAAGACGATCTTCAGCAAGATCGATCTGGTTCGCGCCTATCACCAGATACCTGTGGAAGACAATGACATTCCTAAAACAGCCGTAATCACTCCTTTCGGTTTGTTTGAATTTTTAAGGATGCCATTTGGACTGTGCAACGCCGCACAAACCTTCCAGCGCTTCATCCACGATGTTACTCGTGGCCTAGACTTCGCATATTCCTACCTCGATGATATCTTAGTAGCCAGTTCATCGGAACAAGAGCACCTCGAGCATCTTCGAGCTCTCTTCCAGCGCTTGACCCAACACGGTGTCACAGTCAACCCGACTAAGTGCGAACTCGGCAAATCAACGGTAGAATTCCTAGGCCACATCGTTTCATCGTCTGGTATCGAAGTCCTTCCTGATAAGATCCAGGCAACCAAGGACTTCCCAGCTCCGACTTCCTTCAAGCACCTCCGTCGATTTTGTGGTTTGGTCAACTACTATCGACGCTTCATTCCGCGCTGCGCTCAGCTCATGCAGCCACTGACTGATTTACTCAGAGGAAATGAACGTAAGTTCGCTTTCCCTGAAACAGCACAGGCAGCCTTCGCCGAGCTCAAGGATGCTATCTCCAACATAGCCCTCCTCGCTCATTCTGAGTCGACTGCACCTCTTTCTATTACGACTGATGCCTCAGACGTCGCGGTAGGAGCCGTCCTCCAGCAACACGTTGGTGGACGCTGGCAACCCCTTGGGTTCTTCTCCAAGCGCCTGCAGCCAGCGGAATCCCGCTACAGCACGTTTGGCAGAGAACTGCTTGCCATTTACCTTGCAATACGTCACTTCCGGCACACGCTCGAAGGCCGCGCTTTCACGGTCTACACTGACCACAAGCCCCTTATATTTGCCTTCAACTCTGCTAGCGACAAATACTCACCACGGGAAACAAGACACCTAGACTTTGTCACGCAGTTCACTGCTGACATACGTCATGTCTCAGGTGTCGACAATCCCGTCGCCGACGCTCTCTCACGCGTCAATCTCACTCTGCAGTCTTTGCCTACCGTCGACCTTGCCGCAATGGCATCGGCTCAGGCTCAAGACGAAGACATACAGCGCACTCTGCAGTCCACTTCGCTGCATGTGCAACCTGTTCCTCTCCAAACCACGGAAGGAACCATCCTCTGTGACACGTCCACAGGTTGTCCTAGACCTCTCGTGCCCGTCTCCTTCAGACGCACAGTCTTCGACGCACTGCACTCACTGTCACATCCCGGTATCCGTGCATCTTTGAAACTGGTCACCGAACGTTTCGTTTGGCCACGCGTAAACAAAGATGTTCGTACCTGGGCTCGCGCCTGCCTTCAATGCCAGCGCTCCAAAGTACATCGTCACACCCGCAGTCCTCTTGGTTCATTTCCTGCTCCGGACTCTCGGTTCTCGCATGTACACTTAGACCTGGTAGGTCCCTTGCCTCCGTCACGCGGATTTGTATACATTCTTACATGTGTCGACCGCTTCACCAGATGGCCAGAAGCTATCCCCGTAACAGACTGCACAGCTGAGACTGTTATCCGGGCCTTCTTGGACCGATGGGTCTCGCACTACGGATGCCCATCCACCATCACAACTGACCGCGGAACGCCTTTCGAATCTTCACAATTCGATACGTTCTGCAACTTCTTAGGTTGTCGCCGCATCCATACCACAGCGTATCACCCAGCAGCCAACGGGCTAGTTGAACGTTTCCATAGACAGCTTAAAGCCTCGCTCTGCGCCTCCTCCGACCCTAGCTGGAGCGAAAACATTTCGCTCGTACTCTTAGGCATTCGCAGCAGCATCAAAGCTGACTTGCAATGTGCACCAGCAGAGTTGGTTTATGGAACGACGCTAAAGTTACCAGGAGAATTCGTTTCACCTCCCGCATCATCGGGTATGCCTCCGCCTAACTTTGCGTCCTCGCTGGCTCAACGCATGCGTTCACTACGCCCGACCCCACCCCGTGAACAGACTAGAGATGTGCAAATGCACAGCGGACTCTCTACCTGCACTCACGTCTTCCTCCGCACCGACGCAGTGCGGCGCCCTCTCCAGCCTCCCTACACTGGCCCTTTCAGAGTTCTGCAACGGACTCCGAAACACTTTACGTTAGACCAGAATGGTCACCGAACAACGGTGTCCATCGACCGACTCAAAGTGGCTTTCTTTGACGAGCCAGCCCATCCTGATGCTCTCGCACAAGCACCCGCACCTGTGGTGACTTCCCGAGCACTGGATAACCCGGTACCCTTTGACCCCCAACCTATCCCGCCGCAACCCCAGGCAACCGACCGACGCGGTAGACAGGTCAAACGTCCGGTCCGTTTTTCTGATTTTGTAAGCGTTTGCTATTTCCATTAACACGCCTTTTTCGTATTTAATGGTTATCCTGCGTCTCACCTACAAACGTTTTGCAAAATCGACAAAAAAACCCAAAACATTTTAAAAAAAAACCTAAAAAGCGTATTTGCTTTTATCATACATGCCATGTCCCCTCTCCGGCGTCAAGCCACTTCCCAGACCCTTGCCAACCCCGTCTGAGTTCTATCTTCCAGAAACTCAACCGCCGGAACTGCCCAGGCAACCCTCGAGTGACTCGCCAACCGGCTCAACACAACCCTGGAGTGACTCGCCAGCTGTCCCACAGCCCCCATCCTCACCCCATTCCCCGCCCTCGATCGCAGACACCCGCGAAGGATTGGTCCCTAAACGCCGCCTAGGCATTGCCGACGAGGACGCCGGATTTCTTCGTGGGACGAGGACGCCCCGCATTCCTTCGTGGGACGAGCACGCCTGGATTTCTTCGTGGGACGAGCACGCCTGGATTTCTTCGTGGGACGAGGACCGTGGACTAAAGTGCGGTGGGGGGAGTGACACCTCCCAAGCGCACCGTCGGGTCTGCAGCAATGGGAAGGTCCTGTCGGCCTTTTTTCTGGACTAGCCAGTTTTTTTTGCAGTCCGACCAGCCCGCCCCGACGGCCCACCGATGATGCACTCTGGTCCACACGATCGTCATAAATAAAACTAACAAAAGCCTGGACCCAGCGAAATCTGCTACACCCCACTTTGGAAGCTATTCTCAAGCCCCTGCAAACATTTGCATCCACCCTCACCTTCCGTTCCCCCCACTAACAGCTCCATCGAAGGCTTCCATCCTTCAGCCTTCTAGGGGGAGGCCCTTGTAGTGCAACTGAAAACATGCTCTTTCAGTATCTTATAACATTGGATTTTATGGTTGTTTTAACCTTCGAAACGTCCATTTGTTTAACTGACTGCACATCCATGGTCACAAACCGTTTTGGTGAGTTCCACGCTGCACGTTCCTCGCTCTCTCTGATTCGCTTCCTATTTTTGTAGCCTGCACAATACACGTTGGGTTCAGTCTCCTCCGACTTCTATACTGTCGTATTTGACACGTCTTACGTGTCATCGCTTACCGACTAGTATCCCAGGTTCCGCCCAACACATGCACGTGTGATCGCTGGACCCTAGAGGTGCACCATACGAAACGTTAATCACGAAGTAGAGGGACCAGATCTAGTGTACATGGTATTTGGTTGTGCATATACCTAGTGGGGAAGTCCACGAACTGATACAAAGGCACTTGAAGGGCCAGCTCAAGAAAGTCGATATAGATTGTTCCTGATGCAACATTGCAAGAATGATCGACTCAAAAGACTTCTGGAGGGTTGAAATCCCCTAGAACTAAAGAAGTATTCGCGAAATAAATGCGAAGAAAGTCAAGTATCCTCCCGGACTACAATTGTAAACTGGGTAGTGGAAGTGCACAGAACAGCCGATAGAGCTCCAACAGTCTGATCCGACGACTGGAATGAGCAGGTTCTCAACACATCTAATTTACAGCTCACATAAAGTGCAACGCCTCCGCCTTGGCGACCAACGGAGCGAGCACATCTAAGTAGTGCATAGTCAGGCAAACATGCCTCACCGTTCGTGATATCCGGAGACAACCCCGTTTCAGTGACAGCAAGCATGTCGGGATGAAATTTGTCTACAAGTAGACCCAACTCGTGCACCTTGTTCATTAGGCTACGCACTTTTTAAGTACGACCTCCAGGAAGTCGGCAAGACCATCCCTGGGTTGTGGGTCATCAGGATGGGCTCTGATAGGACGGAAAATAACTTCCGGCTGAGCATCACGAAACCCAGCAGAGGGAGGTCTTGCTCAATAGCCGCCCGCTTATTTATGAGGTTTTTGATAGCGTCCTTCAACTTCAATCTATCTGCTAGTGGGAGGTCTAGCTGAACGCTGACACCACTACCCTTAAGTTTGAATGCAAACCGCAGTAACGGTTTTCGTTCCTCCGGGGTAGAAAGGACCACAGCCGAAGTAGTCGGGATCGCGGATTTGCCGTACCGATAGGGACGTTCCCCAATCTGCTCAGCTTTCTGACAGTGACACTGGGGAAGCCAGGTGGAAGCAGCTTGATGACGGAAAGTTTGAGTCACTTGATGTCATCAAAAATGCGTTCGCTTGGGAGAGCAGCCGCAGGTTCAGTAACGTTACGGGATAAAACGCTACTACCCGTGGAGGAGTCGCCACGGCAGGGAGTGTTTACCCATGTGACTTAGATTCGACACTTACACCAGTTGTTTTCACCACTGGCTGTGGGAGTGCTTCTATCTCCTCCAACGACGTCGAAGCAAAGACAGCGTAGGCTTACAGCACTAT